CATCCTCGACGATGACGATGAGATGACCGATTCTGGCCCCGACAGTGATGTCCTCTGAGGTCGAATTATGGTGAAGATTGAGAAAATGATGATGAAACTCGTGACTGACTTTCAAGGGAAAAAAGGATGAAGAACACAAATAAATAGGCAAAGAAATGTTTTTTCTCAAAAGACGCAACTTTGAAAAGTAACCATAAAGCGGTTTTTATATTAGAAAGACGCAACTATTGAGAAAACGGTTATATCGAAAAGACACAACCCTTAGAAATAACTATAAAGCAGTTAAAATAGAAAAACGTAACCCTTCAAAAAGTGATTATATCGATAAGACGCAACTTTTAAAAATAACCATAAAGCGGTTATCATCGAAAAGATACAACCCAAAAATATAACCACAAATCAAGAATTTTTGGAACTTTTGCAAAATTAAAAACATCTATATTTTAAAATAAATAATAGAATGACTTTTTTAATCTTTCTTATGCTTTAAGTGAATTAAAAAATTACTAGCCACTATTAACAAAAAGTTCAACGGGGAAAAGAGTAAAGAACAAAAATATATATAGGCAAATTTTTTTTTCGAAAAGACGCGACCCTTGAAAAATAACCATAAAATGGTTTTTATATCAGAAAGACACAACTCTTGAGAAAATGGTTTTATCGAAAAGATGCAACTCTTGATTAAACGTAACTCTTGATTAAACGGTTATATCGAAAAGACGTAACCCTTGACAAAACGATTATATCGAAAAGACGCAACTCTTGATTAAACAGTTATATTGGAAAGACGTAACCATTGACAAAACGGTTATATCGAAAAGACGAAACTTTTGAAAATAACCATTAAAAATAACTACTAAACAGATTTTTACGAAAAGTCACAAATACTTTTGGGTTTGCTATTATATATAGATTTAAAGTTTTGAATCATACATAGAATAACCCGAATACAAATCTTAAACTTTTGTAAAATCTCATTAACTTCCATGACTAATAAACCATTTAAACACAAAAAGAGTATCACCATTTTCAACACCATGCCACCCAAGACTACAATTCTCTCGCATAATCCTTTGCTATGTACGAATATATACTCGTCTATTGGCAAAGTCTTGTTAACTTTAAAATATAATAGTAAAAACATCTATATTTAAAAATAATTTCAAAATAATAGAATGACGTCTTTTTATCCTTTTTATGTTTTAAGTGAATTAAACAATTAGTAGACATGATTAACAAAAAGTTTAACAGAAAAGGAACACAAATATATAGGCGAACTTTTTTTTTTCCAAAAAGACACGATCTTTGGAAAATAACTATAAAGCGGTTTTATATAAGAAAGACACAACTCTTGAGAAAA